CAGACAATTTTCCGTAACATGCTTTAGTATCCATTACAAACTTCAAATACCAAATTTAAAACAATTCCGGCGAATAATGTCGCTAAAATCATTAAAATGCCGAATATTGTGACGTACCGTTATATGGGGGCTATACCAAATATACATTTAAGTAAGATTTTATCAATCTACTTCATTTCGTTCGGAAGCTAGAGTGATTTTCACAGACGGACAGACGAATAGACGGATGGACATCGCTAAATCGACATTGAATTTTATGCTGATCAAGAATATATTTACTTTTTGGGGTGTAAATGTATATTTCGAGGTATTACAAACGGAATGACAATCTTAATATACCCTCCATACCATAGTTGAGAGTATAAAAAAACATTAAGTTAAGGCCGGGCCGAACTTTTAGTACCAGTTCTTAAACAAATCCGCAAAAAAAGTGGTGAAATTCATCAGAATACCTCATATTGGGAAGTACCGATATATGTGGGGGCTACACAAAAATGTGGACCGATATATCATTTTCAATACCAACCATACAAATTGTTCCGCCAAATTTTGAAGCTCTACGTCAAATGTGAGCTGTATCGTTTAATCAACTTAGAATTTTATGCTGATTATGAATATGCATACTTTATGGGCTCTACGACGAATATTTAGGGATGTTACAAACGGAATGATAAAGTTAATGTACCCTCCTTTCCAAGGTTGAGGGTATAAATGTGGAGGACTATTATTGTAAAAATAGTGGACTTCGTAAGAATAATAAGCGTTATACAGGGTTGCCCATATTCGACGGACCCATGACTCTTTGGGCCCATTCCAATCGACGAGGCTTGTCCGCAGGCAACATTCTTTGCGTCAATTGAATTTTGTACGGGAACAAATGCAAATCAATGCGAATAATCCGTTGTAAAGTGGACCGAGCCATGCCCAACTGCTGAGAACGGCGTTTTTGGGGTGTTCTTGGGGACCTCTCAACACTGGCTCGTACGGCAGCGATATTCTCGGCCGATCGCCTTGGTCGACTTTTATATGGCCTCTTCGGATTAGAAAGAGCCTTACCAGTCGAACATTTTTCGTATAAACGCTTAATGGTGTTCTTAGAAGGCGCACTTTTCACATTTTTTAATGTTTTAAAAGCACATTGAGTTTTCACAATTGACTTCTTCGGTTGAATGTAAATTTCAACTATTCCGCGTGGCGTGTATTGGTTCATGGTAAAAATCTGCTTGGACTGACGCTTTAAACGCGGTATGTCCTTAAGCGATGTGACATCTCTGTCAAAAGTTATGGCGTTGCCAGATGGGTCCGCCGAATATGGACAACCCTGTATTAATGAAATATTACTGAATATTTTACGGAGAACTACTTGATCTTTAACCGTAGATATTTTTCTATTTTGTGAGACTATCTGAGCAAAGATCGTGAATTAAAAAAAAGCTCTTCTAGTGAGCTATCACATCTTAGTTTTTCTATTATTTTCTGAGTATTTCTTGAGCTAAAGTCGATAAATTTTTTAAAATATTTGAAATCATCACGATTTTCTTGAAACAGTTCGAAAGGCCAATCAGAGTTGCTGGCTTTTTTAAGAAAACATTCTAAAAGACATTAAAAGCTCAAACTGCGGTCTCTTTAGAATATTTACTCAAGGATATGTAACGTGATGACTTCATCGCTATATACAACCACATCTATTGTATCTATAGTAACAACAATAACGGTCATATCAAGATTACAGCCGAACCTAGTGAGCTGCCAAACCCGAATGGTTCAATTCAATTCGTCAACGAAGACCTGGGTAGCTGCTCCAAGTATTCCCACAGTGCTGCTAACGATTATACCATAAGTCCTGAACCTGGGTACAGCTACGCTTACCTCGGCCGACGAGAAAACCACGTTAAAGATAATTAGAGTTTCAGGAGTTTTTATGAATATTTTTGGAAGAGCTATCAGAGCAATTATTGAGGAGTTTTTACGCAAGATTATTAGAAAAAAACCGTTGATTTTTGTAGAATATTTTCAAACTTACTATCAGTAATTTTTTAATTCCTATAAACTATTTGCTTTTTATAAATTACATCCTTTCATACGGCACATCAATATTGGCTGCAAATATGCATTTGTACGACAATTTGTAACGAAATGCCAGGTCAAAGACCATACACGAAAACACCCACACACAGAAACTCTTGCACATTGTAGATGGACAAACATAATTACAATTTCATTAAAACATTTCGGAGAACATTTAAAATGGACACCGAAAAAAAGCTGAATATTTTGACATATCCTTGTTGCAATGGGCATTCCAACGTGTATGAGTATCTGTGTGTGTATGTATATGTCTCTTTGAGTGTGAATACAACATGTAATTGATATTTTTTAACACTTTGGCATCCTCCACCCTCGCCCCTTCTCTCCGACCCCTTACTCCCTCCGTTGATCCTTGTTACAATTCAACACTGTTGCATTGAAAGCTGTTATCGATGATTATAATCCTAGCCATTTGCTGGCAGACTGGCATTTTTGTTCGACCAAAAGAGGTGTTCCATGAACGATGTTAATTGAAGCTGGCATAAAATCATTCGTTAATGCAGACGAACAGCAACAGCAGCAGCAATAACAACAACACCATGTGTGACACAAACAAGCGTTTCTGTCACATTATTGGCGACCAAGGATGGGTTTTGCAATGCCATGAACTGGGCTAATGAAAAGCCAGGTAGGTGAATACAAATACATGGTGTTGAACACGAGTAGCAGCTTTTAATTGAACTTTGACATGGCTGGAGAGATTGTGACATGGCAAGTGTTGTATTTAACGCCATTGCCAATACAACAATAACAAAAATGTAATGTTATGCTCACACACTCTGTCTCTCTGGCAACAACATTGGAATTGGCTGAACTATTGGCTGAAAGAAGAATCAATCACATGGCAAATGATTGGCATAATTAAGCGCATCAGTTATAAAAACAACAACAACAACAGCAAACATTGTAAAGAAAATAAACAGATAATTATTTTACTGAAAAAAAAAAAAAAAAAACAAGAAATGGACAGTAAATATTGAGCAGATTTATTAAAAACAGAATAATTAAAAAAGCTAAAAAGTTCGGCTGTTTAATATCGGCAAACATGGAAAGGGTAAAACCAAGGACAGTCAAATTTGAAAGCCGTATTCTTAAATATTGGCAATTCTGGTATTACAAGAAATATAAACCTTATATTATATTCTCTCCTTTATCGGCAAATTGGTAAATTTGCATCCGCATTTTTATACCCTCCACTATAGTATGGAGGGTATATTAAGTTTGTCATTCCGTTTGTAATACCTCGAAATATACCTTTTCGACTCCATAATATATACATATTCGTGATCAGCACAAAATTCCATGTCGATTTAGCGACCTCCGTCCGTCGGTCCGTCTGTTCGCCTGTGGAAATCACTCTAGCTTCCGAACAAAATGGAGTAGGTTGATTAAATTTAACTCAAATGTATATTATGTCTGCAGGAATTTTGTACCATATAACGGCACCTCCCGATATTCGGTATTTTGATGATTTTAGTTACATTATTTACCGGAATTGTTTCAAATTTGGTATTTGAAGTTCGTAATAGATACTACAGCATAAAACAGAAAATGGGCAATGTAGGTCCACGTCTTCGTATAGCCCCCATGTAACGGTGCCCCCCGATATTCGGTATTTTGATCATTTTAGCCACATTACTTACCGGAATTGCTTCAATTTTGGTATTTGAAGTTCGTAATGGATACTACATCCTAAGACAGAAAATAAGCCATGTAGGTCTACGTCTTCGTATAGCCCCCATATAACGGTACCCCCAATATTCAGTATTTTGATGATTTTAGCGACATTATTTACCGGAACTATTTCAAATTTAGTATTTGAAGTTCGTAATGGATGCTACAGCCTATCACAGAAAATTGTCTGTGCAGGACCACGCCTTCGTATAGCCCCCATATAACGGTACCCCCGATCTTCGGTATTTTCATGATTTTAGCGACCCTATTTACCGGAATTGTTTCAAACTTCGCATTTGAAGTTCGTAATGAATACTACAGCCTATGACAAAAAATTTTCTGTGCAAATCCACGTTTTATAACCACCATGGTACCTCCCTATATTGCCTTGTGGCAAAAGTTGCCTATGCAGGTCCACGTCGCCATATAGACTCTAATATACGGCTACATGATTTTAACAGAATTTTAAAATCCTTTTATTTATTTATTTTTTTTTAATTGTTAAATTCGTACCAAATGGTGGAGGGTATTCAAAGTTCGGCCTGGCCGAACTTACAGCTTTTTTACTTGTAATAACCTCCACCTATATTAAGTTTGTCAGCCTGTGACAGAAAATTGTCTGTGCAGGTCCACGTTTTATAACCCCCATGATACCTCCCTATATTCGGTATTTTGATGATTTTAACAACAAATATATACAGATTTTTTCAAGTTTCGCAATTGAATATTGTAATAGCTTGTGACAAAATATTCCTATGCAATTCCACGTCGTCGTATAGACCCTAATATACGCCTACTTTCGGTATTTATAAGATTTTAACAGCATTTTTAACGGATTCTATTTTTGTGATAATTGCCAAATTTGTAACAAATGGTGGAGGGCATTCAAAGTTCGGCATGGTCGAACTTACAGCTTTTTTACTAGTTTTTCTTTAAACAATTTCTCTGTCATTCCTTGCGTTCTTGGTATTATGGTTGACTTTGGTTAGAAACTATAACAAATAAGCTTGATTGATTTCAGCTTATTCATGCAAACGCACATAAGTAACAATATCAAGAACTTGTTTATATCTTCAATATGAAACTATGTAGGCATTGTAATGTCAATAAGCGTATTATCGAAATACACAAACATGCGCAAATATCGCACAACAACAACAAATCATAATTCCCTAACAAATAAAATATTATTATTTTTTTGTATAAAAGCTACCACATTCCAAGCATTTGACATCAGTTCATTACGCTCCATTGCAAAGAACAGCAATCTTCAACAAAACACTACTCAAAATGAAAGTAAGTAGCCCGCTCAAGGACCATCCAAGGATTCTCATGCAAATAATAGGACAACAAGGATTAACAATATTATTTTCCCACAGTTCCTTATCTGCTTGGCCCTTTTCATTGCTGCTGCTAGCGCTCATGTCGTTGCTCCCGTAACCACCTATGCTGCCGCTGCTCCAGCTTATACCACATATGCTGCTGCCGCACCAGCATACACTACCTATGCTGCTGCCCACCCTGCCTACACCACCTATGCTGCAGCTGCTCCAGTTTATACCCGTTCATTGTACTCTGCTCCCGCTGCCTATACCACCTATTCTGCTCCCGCTGTTGTTGCAGCTCCTGCTGCCGCTGCTGTCGTTGCCCCAGCTGTCCCAGCCGTCTACACCTCTTTGTTGAAAAAGAAGTAAATTCTTTGAGATTGAAATGCGTATAAAAAATGAAAGTGATCGCTAATGTTTTTGGTCCATCGATTTTGATTTCCGAAATAAACAAAAAATGAAGCACTGCAAATAAATTGTTATTTTATTTTATTGAGGGGTTATTTTATTTTTTTTTTCTGATGAATTTCACAAATGGAAATATTCGGTTGAGTGTGCAAATATTTGATGCACAATGACCGTGAAATCAGATTAAAATATACGTGGAAACAATATCGAAATGTATCTGATATCTGGTACCTTTAATCATATTGTAGGGGATTTTGATACCAAAACGGATGAAGCATATATTTAGGAGCTACGGGTATATCTGAACCGATTTTCACCAAATTTTGAAATTTTACGTACATCGATTCAGAATAGGATTCTATGGAAATTATCAAAAGGAACTATGGGTATATTTCGATTTGATTCAAATGCACAAAGATCTTAGGTATTCCTTCAATTAAAATACCACCGAAATAGATCTTTGAGAAAATTAAATTAAAGGCCAATTTTTTTAGGTAACAAGTCAAAAAGTATCAGTCAGGTTTGCCGGAAGATGTATACCCTCAGCCAAGGTTCGATTATTTAAATATATTTTGACTTCTGTTATGATTATTCAAATTGTTGAACCTCTATGGAGTAGGTTCCGAGGAAATAGGTCATCATTGTCCATTTCGTATCGGACCTAAATAAATATGATATACTTATTGCCACGTGCTATGTTTGGACTATATTGGTGAATTCCTTCACTTTATATGAGATATGGGATACTTTTAAGAATATGTTTAGAAGTGCCTGAGGTGCCACATATGATCGACAGGAGCATTTTATTTTTTTATTCCCCACAATGGTACGAAGTTACCTATTTGAATATTGTATATTGTGATTTTTGAATATTGTGATTTTTAACAAAAAATTAAAACATATTTTTTAATATCCAAATTTCCTCCAAATGGTAGAGGGTATTCAAAGTTCGGTTCGGCCGAACTTGCTGCTTTTTTACTTGTCATACTTTATTTAATACAGATACAAATATTGGAAAAGACAAAATTACAAGAAAATTGAATGTTTTTATCTAATTTTATGCGACATCATAAATTCCATATTCATCTTAGGTTTCGGGTTGAGAGAAATATTTATTTTGTACCAGAAGATGTTCGCAGATACATATCATCTTCACAACAGATCTTGTGTTAGTAAAAATGTTTGTATGTGCGCAATTTGAAGAAAGTTGGATGGTTAATTCGCTTTCTTTGAGCCTTTTGTTTTTCAAAATCTTGAACCCTATGTGGGGGAGGTACCAGAAAAAATGGTCCGATTTCTACCATATTCATAAGAGATCTTGTATTGATGGAAATGTTGAGATGTCCCAAGTCTGAATGGAATCGGATGTTAATTTCGCTCTTTATCATTAATGAATTTAATGAATATTCAAAATTTTGAACCTTTGTGGTGGTGGTACCAGAAGAAGTGGGCCGATATATTCCAACTTTGCACCAGACCTTGGTTTAATAAAAATATTGTCGTGAGTATAATTTACCGAAAATCGGACTCTTACGCCACATTTTATAAGAGTTATAAATATTCAAAATTTTGACCCCTTGTGGGGAAGGTATGGAGCTGACCGATATTGTCCATTTTCGCACCTGACCTAAATTTATGTAAATATTAGGATTCGCAAGTTTGGAGGAAAATCAGATTATTCTTTCTTTGTCTGTACAGTAAAATATTTTTTTTTTGTTTTTTGAAAATTTCGACCTTTTGAGGGGGGGAGGTACTAGAAGAAGTGGACCGATATTGCCCATCTCCGAACTCGATCTAAGTTTGATAATAATAATATAGCGATGTACAAAGTTTGGATATTCTCTTCAAGAGTTATTGTGCGCGCCAGCCAGCCAGACAGACGTACGGACGGACGGACATCGCCAAAGAGACCTAGGGACTAGACTTATTTCGATGAGGTATGGCTGATGGTATAAAAAGAGAAATTTTATTTTACACTACATCTATATCCTATTTAAACAAGAGCTTTGGTGATTTCATAGAACTCATTCTGAGAAGATTTATGTTTATCTCCTGTCGGTCTGTTCAGGTATTTTATTTTCTGATCGAGAAAAAATTGCATATTTCAAAGACAAACCCTGTTAAAATTTGATATAATAGTTTCAAAGAACCCAGCCGATTTTCTATTTGGTTGGAGTTCGCCTTTATTGCACACCAAATATTTGATATCACTCTAAGTAGGATGGATATTTGACTGAATTTTTGCTTTAAAAACTGTTATAGTTCCAATTCGATTTGATATTTAAGTTACAAAATACGGAAATACCTTTAACATTTTGTCGAGATCAACTACTTCAAATAAATTCGTTATCAATAGGCCTACTACTGTTTTTATAAGTATTCTAAGACATTTTAGATTCTTTTAATTTTTAAAATTACACTTATTAATAAGTCTACCGTTTGTACTGAATGGATGGTCCCAACATCGGTGACGGGTAGCGATATTTATTAAAAATTAACAAATAACCTGCTAATTTCGTCCGGGCCGAATTTTTAATAGTCTCCACTTTGGAAGGAGCTTACAAAGTTTAAAAAACTTCACCGAAAATGCTGCTAAAATTATTAAAATACCAAATATCAGGTACAGTTATTTGGTAGCTGAACGAAAACGTGTTATAGAAGGTGTTGCCTTTTGAGAACTCTAAATAACAAGTTTTAGATAATTCTGTTGAAAAATGTAGCTAAATTTTGCAAAACCGAATTCGGAAGGTTCCGATATAGGAAAAAAATTTAAAAATGTGAGATTGGCTATTGGTTTCAAAATTTACTCCACTCTTTTTTTGGATTGTCTTCCAAAATTATTCTTTTCCTCGGAAAGACTTACTTTTACTACTTCGTTTTCGCCGATATCTCTAATTCATTATGTTTAATTCGTCGGTATCTCGTAGGGATCGTACTGATGACATGAGTTCATAAAAGCCTTGTAAAAAATTCAAAATGTATACCTACATACATCAATATACTTTTCATACTCTTTTTGGGATCTAACATGGCCATTTTTTTCCTAGTTTACGTTTATTTTTGTAAAAACTATAACTCTTATCATTCTTTATTTGCTGGTAATCCTCGTTTTATGAATTAACAACGAAAAGTAAAAAAACTGATAACAATGAAAGATCTACGACAATTCACGTATAACAGAAGAACTTGTTTTATTCGTTTGACGTCAGTTCATATCATTCTTACTTTAATCCACAAGAACATTAATTCATAGACTCAAACGGAAAATATCCACTGGTGTGTATAAAAGCAATTCATTACGCTCCATTGCAAAGAACCAACTTCAACAAAACCCTACTCAAAATGAAAGTAAGTACCTGCTCAAGGATCTGCAGCCAACACTAATCAGGATTATTACTAATAGAAATAAAAATTCTCTTTGCAGTTCTTTATCTGCTTGGCTCTCTTCGTAGCTGCTGCCAGCGCTCATGTCGTGGCTCCAGTGACCACTTATGCTGCTGCTGCTCCAGCTTACACCACTTATGCTGCTGCAGCCCCAGCTTATACCACTTATGCCGCAGCTGCTCCTGCCTATACTACTTATGCTGCTGCCCACCCTGCCTACACCACCTATGCTGCCGCTGCCTATTCGGCACCAGCTGTAGTTGCAGCTCCTGCTGCCGCTGCTGTTGTGGCCCCAGCTGCCCCCGCTGTCTACACCACTTTGTTGAAGAAGAAGTAGATGCTTTGAAATTGGAACGATTAAATGAAAGTGATCCCTCAAATTTGGCCAAATTGGCCTATGTGACCAAAAGTTATGAGAAAAATAAAATAAAAATTTTGACAAAATAATTTGATTTTTTTTCTAAATCTAATTTTCCCAAAAGTAGTAGCGGTAAGATAGCTTGGGGTTATTCCTATAAAATTTACAAGGCAAAATTACCTAGTGATACGCGTCTATTTTCCAAATCAAAAGTCGCTGATTCAGTTGAGAAAATACGAAGGGTTTGTTAATTTGTCGTTAACGACAAGTAATGTTCGTAACAGTAACGGAGCGCATGGTATTCCTGACTTTCAATTAAAAGATCGGAGGTTCAATCCCTCCATTAAGCAAATAAAATACCAAAACAAAAAGCAAGTTTGGTGAAATGCATCTCTAGTATTCTAAAAATTGAACGACTCCTTTTTGAACTTCTTTATTAGGTCTGTTCTGGAGTTTGGTAAGTACATAGTACCTATGACAGTCCCTTTTTAAAATAGAGTGTTTTGTGCTGTTTTGTTAGTAGGTACTGGTGCAAAATTTACATAATATCCCGTTACTAAGTACGGGGACCTTAGAAAATGTTGCATTTTTGGAATATCGTACTAAAACAAGTAAGCAAAGGCTATAGTCGTGCTGGCCGACCATGTGATACCCTACAACACTACAATATTTTGAAAGCCTCCTTATGTCAAAATCGAAATTGGCAGATTTCGCTTTTGAAATGATGCCATAGAGCTCTGTATCGATGTTACCCTTAGCTTTTTGATCGGGGACATTTGCCCAATATTTGCGCTAGTCATCCAAAATTCTGCCTCTTCTTATGCAAAATTCTGTTTGGATTGGTTTCCAATTGTGACCAGTAGCGCGACTGCAAAATGAGGAAAAATTTAATTTCTTGGTCCATTTGAACCCCTAAATGTACATCTTCAAAAATAATGGGCTTTACTTCGGACCCCCATGAAAAATTTCGTGAGAGATCCTATGATAATTGCGACCTGTATATAATATTTTACGATCATCTCCAAAAACAATAGGTTTCTATTCTTACCCTGGACATACATACATACATTTTTGGCCCAATCAAACTACAATGCCCCCAACAAATAGTGGTGTTTGAATTCTATACTTTTAGAATAAGAATCTTGAAAGTTCGAATGCAGGTCGATATAGGTTCGAGTCATCAGAAGAAATACTTCTTTGGGAAATTTGTTTTAAAAAGATTGTAAAAAGTACTAAATATTGTATTGTTGGAACTGGAATTCTGAAATTTGTTATTTAGCATTGTCTGACGAAGCCAAACATTCGTGCGTAATTTAATTTTAAACCCAGTTAGGAAAGGTCAATAGTCGATCGGGGCCAACTATATGATACCCTACAACACTATGCGTATTTAGTAGATATCCTGTAACAAAAAAGTTTTTATTGGGAATTTATGTAAAGTAGATAATACCAGTTATGAACCTTATTTGAATGAGTATAATGGCTTTAAATAAGTCACGATTTGGGAACTATATCGAACACTGAATCGATTTTAAACAATTTTGACGAAGGCTTGTGTACCTCTAGTACCAAATAACATTGCTGTATAGTGCATGGTATGACTTCGATAAGAATTATTTTAAAAAAATATTTATTGGAGCAATAGATATATCGGACCTAGTTTCACCAAATGGAAGATTTCGGTTGAATTTGGAAAAATCTATTCAATTTGGGCTGATACTACACTTATGGTGAACAATAACCGCAAAATCGGATGAACGTGTATATCATATCTATATGAAAATCTGAAACGATCTCGAAAAAAAGTTTGGCAGATGTGTTTTCGAGGTGTATTTGATTTCCGGTATCAAATATCCCTATTGTGGAGTGCATATTACGAATGTGAGGGACTTTAACACCAAATCAGATGAAACATATATATGGAACCTATAGCTATATCTGAACTGATTTTCACCAAAATTTGAAGCACTTGCTTTTAAGCTGAATTCCATTGGAATTGCCGAAATGCAGTCTATTTGAGCTGATATTAGCCATTTGGTGCACAAAAACCTAAAATCGGATACAGATATATAAGGGAGTTACATCCAAATCTGAACCGATCTTGATAAAATTTTAGACACTTATTTCTGAGCTGTATCTGATATCTGATACCAAAGATCATTTTTGTGGAGTGAATATCACGCATGGGACTTGAAACCCCAAATAGGATAAATCATATATATGGGAGCTGTAGATATAATCCGATTTTCACCAAATTTGATGTACTTGCTTTTAGACTGAGTTTGGTTGGATGTGCCAAAATTCAGGCCATTTGGACTATTATTAGAAATTTAGTGCAATTTAGCCCTTAACCGGTTGAAGATATATATGGCAGATATTTGAACAAATTCTCACCAATTTCAATAAGGTTCGTCTTTGGGCCAAACAAATATTGTTTCGAAAATTTCATCTTAAGCGGATAATACATGCGACCTGCATACATGACATAAATCGACTTAGAAAGGGAGGGAGAGTAAGTAGGGGTCTATCTTGCTTCCTTCTTTATATTACAAACAAATGCACAAAGACATAATACCTTACTCTTACTTGGTGGTGGTGTAGGGTACCGTAATAGTACCAATAATCTGCTAAATGCGAAGGAGTAGACCTAATTTTCTTAAATTTAGTATGGGAGCTATTTTTGGTACAAACTAGTACTAAATAATAAAATTGTTCTAAAATGTGGTTTTGAAGAAGAAATTTTGTTCTTTAGAATTAATGTCTGTACATGTCGTACTATTAGTGAAAGTCAATCTGGAAATTAGTACAAAAAGGTGCCAAATATTGCACTGTTGGATCGACAATTCTAAAATTTGGAATTTAATGTTTTTTTCTGATGGTATTAGCATGTTTTGCGAAATTAGATTGAAAAGTGTTTTTTGTTTTTGGTTCTAAAAATGTTACTATAGTACTAAATGCAAAAGAGTTGAACTAAACAAATTGGCATTAGATCCCTTCTTCTTTCAAACTTTTGTTGCAACAGTAGAAGCTGATCTCATAAAATCTGATTTAAAGTTCTGAAAAAACTTAAGTATGAATGTTAGTTTGTGCTACTTAGTACTATATTTCGAAATGTACTTTTAGAGTTAGAGCCTAATCGTTCTGCACCCTTTGGGCAAGCTAAAGGGTGGAGTATTTTGAAATTAGTACTAAAAGGAGTTTTGTCTGGTGGTGTAAACATGATTTGCGAATTCTTAAAAAAACGTTAATTTTTGGTACTAAAAAGGCTAGAGTAAATTATGACCCCTTGTCTCACACCTTCACAGCAACTAATTGCCAACTTGCGATCACAATTTGTTGTTATGTTCAAACCAGTTGGCATACATTTTTTCACAGGAATTTTTGTATTCACCAGGCAAAATTGATTATCACTATAATCCACTTATTGGAATCAGGAATATCCGGAGTCTAAAAATAACCAACCCACTCACAAAAAACTCAAAAAATCTTGATAGAATTTCTTCTACCATATAAGGGAACATGAGAGACAGATTGATTGGCATAAGCTTATTCTTGTATGTACGTCAAAAACTGGTCCATTGCTCTAGGCATTGTTATGTCTGTACCTTAATCGTATCAATATTAGCAACAACAAAAACTCAAGTAATAATTCACAAACGAAATTGCTATAAAAGCAATGATGAATTTGTCAACGGATATCAGTTCATTTCGCTCCATTGCAAAGAACCAACTTCAACAAAACAAAAAACAACTCAAAATGAAAGTAAGTACCTGCTCAGCAAGGACATGGGAAGGAACACATGAGGATTAATTCTAATTGTTGTCATTTCATTGCCTTTTCAGTTCATTATCTGCTTGGCTCTCTTCGTTGCTGCTGCTAGCGCTCATGTTGTGGCTCCAGTGACCACTTATGCTGCTGCTGCTCCAGCTTATACAACATATGCCGCTGCTGCTCCAGCTTACACCACTTATGCTGCAACTGCTCCAGCCTATACCACATACGCTGCTGCCCATCCTGCCTACACCACTTATGCTGCCGCCGCTGCTGCTCCAGTATACACCCGCTCGTTGTACTCTGCTCCCGCTGCCTATACAACCTATTCGGCACCAGCTGTAGTGTCAGCTCCTGCTGCCGCCGTTGTTGCTCCAGCTGCTCCCGCTGTTTACACCACTTTGTTGAAGAAGAAGTAAATGCTTTGAAATTGGAACGATGTAATGAAAATGATCCTTTGCTTGACCGAATTGGTTTCAAATGACTGATTGCTGCTAGAAAAAAATAATAAAAAAGGAAAAAAACCTAAATTAGATATTTTGTTTTTCATACATTTATTTTAAAAAAAATATCTAAGGTTAAAAACAAAAAGGGAATATTTTGAATTATTAGTTAAAATTCGAAATGCAATTAACGAATTTTATATCGATAGATGCATTTATGTAATTATAATTTTATTTATAACTTTTCCTATACAGGGCGAGGTAAAAAACCTGCAACAAAGTCAAACGCCATAATTTTTACATTTTTTTTAATTTTATTGAACGAAAGCAAAAATTGTCGGAAATAGCATCAAATTTTAGAATTAGAGTTTAGATTTTTTCGAACTGGTCACCTTTGGCACGAATTATGGCATACGGCCAATGAAACCGTCACACGCTGCCCAAATGTTGCTCTGCGGTATTTTGGCCCATTACCGGCAAAGCGCTTGCTTGAGGTCATCGACACTTTGGTATTTTTTAGTGCCAACTTTGGTTTCCAAAATACTCCAGACACAATAGTCCAACGGATTGGTATCCGGAGATTTTGGTGGCCATTGTGCACTGGAAATTTTTTTCTCATCACGAATAGAGAATAGAGTTGACAATCGAAGAGGGAGATTGGACTCTTTTCTCACTATAACATTGATCCTCAAGCCGGATCGAGAATTGAAACTACATCCAAAGGATAAGGTTGTTCTTTCTTTTCTCACCGAAAACAAAATACAGTTGACAATCGAAGAGGGAGATTGGACTCTATTATCACTTAAACACTCCCCAAAATATTTATTTTATACCCTATGAAGTATACATATTCCTAATCAGCATAATATTCTAAAATGTATCACGCTAGAGTCAAAACGAATTACGGTGGGAAGATAACATTTTGCACAGATCAGTTTTTTTGTCTGCAGGCAGGACAAGTTCGAGGATGGGCTATATCGACCCACGATATTGTATAGTCCTTTTATAACGGTACCTTCCGATATTCGGTATTTTATTGATTGTAGCCACAGTTTTAAATGGAATTGGAATAATGTAGCTGTCGATGTTCGTTATTTTTATAATTTGGTCACATTTTTCAATGGATTTGTCTGGAATTAACTCTTTTTATACCCTACAACACTATGTGTTGGGGGTATTATAAGTTTGATTGGTCCAAAAATTATGTAACACTTCGAAATATTGGTTTCCCACATAGGAAAGTATATAAGGACCTTCCTATCTTGCCGAGATGAGTAGATCTAGCTATGTATGTCCGTCCGTCTGTCCGTCAGTCCATGTTAATTTGTAATCACTCTACAGGTCGCAATTATGGCCCGATTTTCACGAAATTTGGAATGAAGGTGGGGTTAAGGTCAGAATAGAACCCTATTTCTTTTGGAGATGATCGCATAATATTTTGGGGTTGAAATGGACCAAAAACTGAAAAATTTCATGATTTTGCAGCTGCTCTACAGGTCGCAATTATAGACCAATCGAAGCGGAAGTTAGCATGGGGCTAGAGATTAGGGCTGGGCAGAAGACTTCCAATTTTGATGGTCATCGGGTAATATTTAGTGGGTGAAACAGACAACAACATTTGTGTTAAATAAAAGTCAAATTTTCCATTAAACCGCGAATATTTTTAATCCCTGCGAAATCACAAATAGACGAACAGGTCAATTCTGACCGTTACGTAGATGCCGATAGCAATAATATCGGATGTATTTAGCGAAATATATACAATATTTATATACAAAGGAAGGGGATGTTAGTTAGAATGCTTATATCTCAAGAAGGGCTGGACCGATTTTGACAAATTTTGTCAATTCAGAATGCCTTCTTGGTATAAAAGAATAAAATCTAAAAAATCGCATAAAAAGATGCCTATAATCATGATAATATAGATTTTGTAGTATTTTGTGACATTTTTTTTATTTTTTCATATTTTTTATCGCATGCGATTTTTTCAATTTGACTTAAAATATTGGAGTGTAAATTTTGTGATATTTTTTCACCTTACAACACAGGTTAGGACTATTATATACAGATTTCAATTATCGTCCGATCCACACGAAAAGAGTGGGGTTAGGCTCAGAAGGGCTAGGCCTATTGTTTTCAAAGATGCCCGCAATATATTTAAGGGTTGAAATAGACTAGCTACTCAAAATGTTCCTGGTTTTGCAGCCGTTATAAAGGTCACAAATAGAAACCCAAAGGCACGAAATCTCGCATGAAGTTAGAATTTAAGACAGTGGGCAGAATGGACCACTACTTTTGTGTGAAAAAATGCCAACATTAATTACAGGCGATATCCGAAATACACAATAGACGAACTTCTGGCTTTTTATGCTGATTTCGTTGACGAATATAACCAAATATCGTAGACAAGCAAATCATATAGATGAGTCTAAATTTGGAGATACAGAAGGGCCTCTTCTTTTGGAGATGGTCGCAAAATATTTAGGGGTTCAAATGAACCAAGAACAGAACAAAATTCCAGATCACACAATTGATGCCAATCGACACGCCTGAGAAGGTGGTTAAGCACAGGGAAGAATTCTGGCATTTTGGATGACCATTGGATTATATTTAGCCGTAAAATGGACCATAAAAACTGGACATAAGGGGTCTTCTAACATATTGTAGTGTTGTAGGGTATCACATGGTCGGCCCCGCACGACTATAGTCTTTACTTACTTGTTTTTATTTGTTAATAATAATAACTCCTTCAATAATATCTTTCATGAAATGCGAAATAATTGTCCGTAGTCATATTAGGTCTTATGTAATATTGGGATATGTAGGTCCAATATTTTGCTACGTCCCCAATTTACATAAACAAGTGGTCATATGCTAAAGTAATATATCTTTGGAAAAAACGACTGACATTTTCTAGTTTGTTTTGGTCTCAAATGTTATATTTATACCCTACACCACATAGTGGTAAGGGTATTATGTCTTTGTGCATTTGTTTGTTACATGGAGAAGGAAACGAGGTAGACCCATAGTTACTTTTGAGAACCTTCATAGAATCACTTTCTGAGTCGATTTATGCATGTCAGTCCGTCTGTCCGTCCGTCTGTCCATATATTCTTGTGAACAAAATGCAGGTCGCATTTATTATCGGATTGAGATGAAATTTTCCAAACAACATTTTTTTGGCCCAATTACGAACCCTATTGAAATTGGTGAGAATCGGATCAAATTTAGATATAGCTCCAATATATCTTCATCCGATTTCGGGTTAAATGTGCACCAAATGTGAATTTTAAAATGAATTTTGGCACACCCAACCGAGTTTGGCTTAGAAGCAAGTATATCAAATTTGGAGAAAATCGGTTCAGATATAGCTATAGCTCCCATACATATCTTTCATCCGATTTGATCTTTAAGTCCCTCACATTCCTACTATACACTCCACAACCGTGATATTTGGTACCAGGTATTAGATGGAGCACAGAAATAGCTGTTTTAAATTTTATCGAAATCGGTTCAGATTTGGATATAGCTCCCATATATATCTTCATCCGATTTCGGGTCAGCCCAAATGGCCCGAATTTTGGCACATGTGACCGATATTAGCCTTATTATCCGATTGGTGTTTAAGCCTCTCACATTCGTAATATGCACTCCACAAGAATGATATTTGGTACCAGATATAAGATACAGCCCAGAAATAGCTGTTTGTAATTTTATCAAAATCGGTTCAGATTTGGATATAGCTCCCATATATCTTCATCCGATTTCGGGTTAATTGTGCACCAAATGGCCGATATAAATCCAAATGGACTGAATTTTAGTACGAAATATAGCTATAGTCGGACCAAATTCAGGCTAGAAGCAAGTATATAAAATTTAGTGAAAATCGGTTCAGATATAGATATAGCAACCATATATGTTTCATCCGATTTAGTGTTTGAGTCCCTTACATTCGTAATATTCACTCCACAACCGTGATATTTGGTACCAGGAATTAGATGGAGCACAGGAATAGCTGTTTTAAATTTTATCGAAATCGGTTCAGATTTGGTTATAGCTCTCATATATATCTTCATCCGATTTCGGGTTAAATGTGCACTAAATGGTCAATATCAGCCCAAATCACCTGCATTTTCATACATAACCGAAATTAGAAGCTAATACGTCAAATTTGGAGAAACCCGTTTCAGAGATAGGTATAGTTCGTAAAATGCACGATAGAATTAGATAGATTTTGATTTTGTACCAAATATCTCATAGAGCTCTGAAATGGCCTGTATAAACCTTTTTACGAGAGCTCTACTTAATATGCATAGTGGTGTAGGGTATCATATAGTAGGACCCGCCCGACTTTTGAGCTTTCCGTACTGGTTTTAATGTTGAAATCGCTTACATTTTTTTTTTTTTGGACTTTGGTGGACCTTTTCAATAATGTAGTAAAGGGTCATAACATGTCAAAATTTTACTGATTACCGTGGTATAAAAAAAATAATTAAGAAAAGTTCAAAAATTTCAAAACATTCTTAGGTTTTCAAACTACGCCTTTAAAACTTGTCAGGAAATTCCCACGATTTAATTCATTTTACATTAAAAATAATATTTAGCCCTATGAACTTTAATGGCATACAATTTGCCCAAAGCTTTGATTGATGTTATTTCAATAACGCCATTATGTTTAATGCCCCCATTAAACAATTTCCATTCATGGCGCAAGTGTGAATGAACAACAGTAACAACAATTCAATGGTGTTGTGTTTATACCAAATATTGTAGTTCCTATTCTAGGGTGTCCAGAGAAAAAAATCAATACCTTCAAGTTCAAGAATAGGAACTCAGTGCACAATATAAGCTTATTAAATATGCTTACAACAAAGAAAACAAGAAAATAAAAACTCGTTTATTTGTTTCAAACAATTGCCCACAATACATGGTAATGCGGCGTAAAGACGTTAATTGCGCTACCAACAATGTGTGCTGTCATATGTACCTATGACAGACTGTCCACGCACAACAATGACACACAAATTCTATGCTGCGGGTTATGGCCCAGTTACTCTTTGTATACTTCTTTTTGGTATAAAAGCCTCGAAAATTTATTGAATTGACATCAGTTCATTACGCTCCATTGCAAAGAACAATCTTCAACAAATCAATCAAAATGAAAGTAAGTATTGACAAACTCAAAAATTATATTTGAAATTTAAGAAACTAGGGCAAATTTTGAAAATATTAGCAAATTTCATTTGAAATTAATGTATCCTTTGTACACTTCACAGTTCCTCGTCTGCTTGGCTCTCTTCATCGCCGCTGCTAGCGCTCATGTTGTAGCTCCTGCTTACACCACCTATGCTGCCGCTGCTCCAGCCTATACCACTTATGCTGCTGCTGCCCCAACATACACTGCTTATGCTGCTGCTCCTGCCTACACTAGCTATGCCGCTGCTGCCCCAGTCTACACCCGTTCCGTGTACTCTGCCCCAGCCTACACCACCTATTCTGCCCCTGCCGTAGTTGCCGCTCCAGCAGCCGCTGCTGTTGTTGCCCCAGCTGTGCCAGCCGTCTACACCTCTTTGTTGAAGAAGAAGTAAATTCTTTGAGATTGGAATGAGTATAAATACGAAACGAAATGAAAGTGATCGCTAATATTTTTGGACTCTTGATTTTGGATAATGAATAAAATAAAACAAACCAAACACCCTATTTGATAGTTTTTAATTTATAGAGGAGAATCATTATAGGTGTGCAAGATGATAAAATGATTTGTAACAATATGTACAAATTGGTACAAGATGTTCTTCGAGAAGTCCAGTAAGTGAAAAATAGTGTGGTGATAGAAATGTTCACAATTGAGTTACGGAGAGTTTTCATATTCTCAGATAGGAGATTTGCTCAGTAAAATTTTATTATTTTGATGAGCTAATTTTGAATCAACTGTTTGTGGCCGTAGCGAACGATTACTCAGTTTGACAATTTTGTCTTTCAAATAAAATACCAACAAACTCACACACAAGTGACTGGGTGGATGTTTCTTCAGCTTACAGAACTTATTGAGTTCCTAGTTGAATACGTGCTCAGATAGCATTTGCAATATATAGTTATGATGATTTTTGGGAAAGGTATAAAGTGAATATGATTCTCGTTTACTTAAGAATGCTCGACACTTAAAGAGGTTGATTTTCATCAAAGTCGTTAAATCAAACAGCTGAAGAGCCAAGTGGCCATTCCTTTCGTCGAAGTAAAATCATGATATTGATAACGATTATCAAATATTTAACGCTGTCAGGTTCGTTTTCAAAACATTACTTTCTATAATAGATAGTAATTTGAAGTTATGCCAATCGGCGAATACTCCAGACTTAGGCAGTCAATTGAATTTTCAATAATAACAAAACAAAGTCAGCAAGGAAAAGGCAAAAGTAGGACGCGGCCGACTATATGATACCCGACAGCACTAGGCATATTCAGTAGAGCTCCGGTAACAAAATAATTTATTTGAAATAGATCATACCAGCTATCACCATTCGTTTTTAGAACAGTTACAGTTTTGCTTCAAAAGGAGCTAATATATGACAGGCATATCCAATTCTGAATCGATTTTCACTAAATTTGACGGAGACATTTTTATCTTTATTACTAAATAACATTTCAATAGAGTGCATGATATCACTTCGAAAAGGATTATATTAAAAAAATATATATCGGAGTTGAGTTCCACAAAATGGAAACTTACGACCCGAAATTCACTTCATTTGGGCTGATATTACCCATTATTTGCACAACAAACCTGAAGTCGAATTGAGGTTATATCTGGGAGCTACATCCAAATTTGATAAAATTTGTAAAGGTATTTCCAAGCTCAATAAGATATTTGGTACCAAATGTCATTGTTGTCGAAGGCATATTACGAATGTGAGGGACTTAAAGACTAAATCGGATGAAATATATAAGGGGATTATATCTGAACCGATTTTCTCCAAATTGTATATACTTGCTTCTAGACTGAATCCGGTCTAACGTGCCAAACTGATATTGGTCATTTGTTGCACAATTAACCCGAAATCGGTTGAAGATATATATGGAAGCTATATCCTAATCTGGAGCTATACGTAATCTAAACCGATTTTCCCCAAATTTTATGTATTCATTACCATGTGGGCTGCTAATTAGCCATTTGGTACACAATGAACCTGAAATCGGATAAAAATATTTATGGAAGCTACATTCAAGTCTGAAACGATCTCAGTAAAATTTGACAGAGGTATTTTTGAGCTCCATAAGTTATCTGATACCAAACATCATTCTTTTAGAGTGCATATTACGAATGTGAATATATATATGGGAGCTACAGCCATATCTGATCCGATTTTCCCTAAATTTGATGTACTTGCTTTTAGACTGAATTCAGTTGGAGGTACCAAAATTCAGGTCATTTGGACTGATATTGGCCATTTGTTGCACAACTAGCCCGAAATCGGTTGAAGATATATATGTGAGCTATATCTAAATTTTAACAGATTCTAACCAATTTCAATAGGGTTCGTCATTGGGTCAAACAAATTTTGTGTGAATTTTTTTTTCAATCGGATAATAAATGCGACATTCATAAATCGACTGGAAAAGTGATTCTATGCAGATCATCAAAAGGAACTATGGGTCTATCTCGCTTCCTTCTACATGTTACAAACAAATGTACAAAACATAATACCTTTACTACCAAGTGGTGTAAAGTATAAAACACAAATATTGATATCGTTATATGCAGCTCTTGATTTTAAGCGAATCTATGTAGGAGGTGAGTCTATCTACGAGGTAAAAAGCACTACGAACTTTAATTACGGATTTTTAGAAATTTTCGTTAAAAATGTGTCTTAAGTTGTCAAAATACCGATATGGCTCATTTACGAACTTGGCTTTCTTACTGACAAAACACAAATATGTTGGCCTTCTATCGCAATTAGTTTGAAAAATAGCGTTATTACAATAGGGGGAAAGAGAGAGAGAGAGACAGACAACCACACAGCTAATCAGGATATATATACTTTGTAGGGTCTAACGTGAGTATTTCGAGAAAGTTACAAATGGAATGACAAAGCTAATATGCCCTCCATAGTATGTTGGTGGTTATAAAAATGTTATCATGTCTGGAGTTCGGTTGAAATATTACGAGTATTTCCAAAATGCGGTTTCTCTTTAATACCATAACCATTTATTGTATGTGTACATCCGCCTTTCATATTTTAAAACTTTGAAATACTATTTATAAATGGATTCTTAAATTTTCATATCATCTTTCAATGTCTTTAAAAATCATAGTAGCGAAATGACTTTCACTTCTTGAAAAACAGTAGCAAATTTAAAATTGCGTATTTCTTTTATTTTAATTTTTTTTTTTGTCCAGATCTAATTATTTTACACCGATCATTACAATTATGCCGACTATTTGGTTTTTCCAAAAATTTTTGACAATATCATTCAGCATTAAAGTGGTGGAGTAATAAATCGAAAATCAATTACTCGCTGTCATTGATATTGTAAAGTTGGATATGTGTTACAATTTAAAATCTGCGGAAGAAGAAATAAAAAACAGACAAGAAACGAAGCAATACGAACTCAGCAAGACCTATAAGGTTTTTTAATTGAGAATTGTTGATATCAACCAACAATACAACAACACATAGCACCTCTAAGCCATTGGCCACGCTAAATGGCATTACAATTATCAATTAAATCAGATCATTGAATGACAGCGGCGATATGTGGGTGATTCTGCAAAAATTTAGTGTCAATAACACGGACACATACACGCGCAGCTTCGAATCGTATTGTGGCTAAGAGAATTGCAAAATAAGTTTGAGGACTACTGATTTGTTGCTTCACATCCGCCTTCATTCATTTCACAAGCGGAGAGTTGTTTGTTGTTTTTTTCAGGCTTGTCATAGATGAAATTCCATTCCAAACAGATTATTAATCTTCTCGTTTGGGATTTATTTTGTCATTGCAAAGCCAGTGGGATTGCTTTTAGCTAAGCTTTGCTTCATATGCTTATTTTTAATTTTATTTCTGAGCTATTTCTAGAAGGATAAATGTATGTGTTCTCTCTCTCTCTCTCTCTCTCTCTCTCCATGTCTCTCTCTCTCTCTCTCACTCTCTATTTCTATCTTAAGAATTTTTTTCAAATATCATTGTTTTGATTCTAAATACGTCAGATTCCAGAATTGAAGAATAGTATAAAAACCCGAGACTTGTTGTCAAATCCATATCAGTTATCATTTGTAACTCACAAACCAAAAACTTAATAAAAATGAAAGTAAGTCGAGGAATTCGATTTTCAATATTTTGAAAAAAATCTTACCATCTTCTTTTCCTGCGATATAGTTCCTTATCTGCTTGGCTCTCTTCATTGCCGCTGCCCAGGCTGGGGTGGTAGCCCCAATTACCACCTATAGTGCTGGTTATACCACCTATGCTGCCGCTCCTGCCTATACCGCCTACTCTGCTCCCGCTTATACCACATATTCAGCTGCTGCCGTTCCTGCCGCTTACACTGCATACAGTGCTCCGGCTTATACATCTTCGTTAGCTTACACCGCTCCAGTGGCTTATGCCGCTCCCGTTGCCACTTTGTTGAAAAAGTAAACAGGGATTGCGGGAAGTTCGTATGGTGATTTTGGCTAATGACAACTGACAATTCTTTTTTGTGGATGGAATAAAGGTTACCTGAAAAATAAAAAAATGGGGATTTGGTTTATTTTGAAGTCTGCGAATGAATATTCAGCACATAATGTGATGGTATTCATTTAGCTTATTTTCAAATATTTTGAAATTTTATAAGGGTTCTCAGTGAAGAAAGGCTGAGATAAAATAGTTAAGTGTTATATATACCTAAAATCGGATGTTGGGGTTACATGGATAATTTTTCAAAACCTATACAAATATTGAATATTTTAGCTATATTTAATTTTTTCAGAATATCAAAAAAATCAAACCCTGGATTGAACATTTTAGCGATGTGTATTCCCGTTAAGACTTAACAAGTAAAGAAACAGTTAAGTTTGGCCGGGCCGAACTTTTAATACCCTATACCATTTAGAAGGAACTTGAAAAATGTCCAAAAAATTCAGTCGAAAAATACCGCTAAAGGAAGGCTGTTACATGGGGACTATGCGAAGACGTGGTTCTGATACACGGAGGCTATACGAAAACCTGGAGCTGCATAGACGATTATTTGCCAGATTTAGTAGTACTACAGTGTTTAACTACATATGCCAACTTTAAGAAAATTTTGTTGTGTTGGTCTAAAATCATTCTAATAGCGGGGCTATTCGAAAACATGAACCTACTTAGACAACTATTTGCCAAAGCACTCCTAGCACCACCTTTGAGAATACTCCGTTAACAAATGTGTCTAAAACAGACCTCCCAATACTTCAAGTGAACTTTACACTCGAATTAGAGCGGTTATGCGAGCAAAGTTCGCTCAAAATCGAGCAGATTCGACTCCTTAACTTTCTACTTATTGTTTTTGTATTTTCCCAACCTACAGCAGAAAACGAAAAACAAACAAAATACGAACAAATTTCACTCCCGGGTAAAAACGAGCAAATCTGTGCTCTGGTATAAAATCGTCCAAATACCGATAATTGGGGTACCGTCACATGATGGCTACTCTCTCTACCAGAGAAAGTATAAAGGTCCAATACAGACAGTTCTGAAGGCTTTTTTTCATCTCCTGGGAACACAAACAGCCAAATTAAACAGAATTCAGTTGAAAAATATGACTAAACTCTAAAAATACTTTAATCGCAAGTGTGGTAGGGCCTAAATTGTAATATCCTATATATATGACCAAATCGGATATCTTCTAAATCTCAAAAATTTTAAGGTTTCGGTGTATGGGGCTCTACCAATATTGAATATTTTTTAGGGGATTTAATGTACCCACACAGAAACCAAGACCTAACTTTGAATATTTCTGGAGATAAGATAAACCGAGACGTACACAGGAATGTATTTCCGAACAAATACGTCCCTGCTAGCCTCTAAAATTTATATCCAAATATAGGTTGGATATTTGGACCAAAAGTGTGGTCCCATAAACACCATACTTACACCAGATCTTGTGTTGATAGAAATATTGATATAGGCTGAGATTGAATCTGACTTTTATTTCTATTTTTTTTCAAGAGTTATAATTACTTAAAAATTTAAACAAGAGGTACCAGAAGGAGTGGTCCGTTATTCACACTAGATCTTTCGTTGATATAACTATTGCAATGTGCAGAGTTATAAACGAATTAGATGCTCATTTCCCGTTTTATCATCTTCAGGTCATTCACAATTTTGACCCGTTGTGAGGGAGGTACCAGAAGGAGTGGGCTGATATCTATCATCTTCACATCAGATCTACTTATTTCGCATTTAATAAGGGATGTAATTATTCAAAAATATGTGCTGTTGTGGGGGAGGTACAAGAAGGATAGGTCTGATATATTCCGTCTTCACACCAGAGCTTCTGTTGATACAAATATTGGGATATACGAAATTTGAAGGCTATCAGACTCTTACTTCACATTTTTATATGACTTACGATTATTCAAAATTTTGACTCTTCCTGGGGGAGGTACTTGATGTAGTGAACCGATATTGTCCATTTTCGCACCCTACCTAGCACTGATAAAAATATATAAAGTTTTGAAAAATTTGCATAAAATTGGATGATCCTTTCTTATTCTATAAGGTAAATATTTTCTATGAAAATGTGGGGAAGTACCAGAAGGAGTGGACCAATACTGCCCATCTTCGAATTCGATCTAAGTTTAATAATAATAGTACGATGTACCGGGTTTGGATCAAATCGGATACTCCCTTTGAGAGTTCTCTGCGCTTCAACTAGCCAGACAGACTGACACACATAGATCAACTTCAAATGTTCTGAATCGGATTCGGTTCAAAGAGACCTGGGGTCTAAAACCGTTATTTCGATAAGGCACTTTTTGGTCGTATGAAGTTATGTATACCCTTTGTAGCCATACGGTTGAGGGTATTAAAATTCCGTCGAAAAATACCGTTTAAATGAAAACCGTTATATGGAGGCTATACGAAGTAAGTATAAGTAATTTTTTGTCATAGGCTGTACCGATAGTACAGATTACGAAGTTCAAATAGGAAATTTTAAATAATTTCGGTGAATAATGTCGCAAAAATCATCAAAATACCCGATATCGCGAGGTATCGTTATCCATAAACGTGGACCGTTAAGTTCGTAAATGGGCCAAACGAAATATCCCTGTCTACTGGCAAAATAAACATGTTTCTAATTTTATTTTAGCCTTCTATCTATTACAACAGACAGGCAAACAGTATTGTGGGATGTGTGCATATGTTTGTATTATGAAGAAGGAAACGAGATAGACCTATAAATATATATAAATAACTTTCAGAGTCGATTTATGCATGTCAGTCCGTCCGTCCATGTATTCTTGTGAATAAAATGCAGGTAGCATTTATTAATCGATTGAGATGAAATTTTTGCAAACAATATTTTTTTGAACCAAGGGGTTTGTCCTTGAAATTGGTGATAATCGGAAATGGGCAATATCCAAATGACCGGAATTTCGGCACATCCGACCGGATTCAGTCTAGTACATCAAATTTGGTGAAAATCGGTTCAGATATAGCTCTAGCTCCCATATATATGTTTCACCCGATTTGGGTTTTAAGTCCCTCACATTCGTAATATGTATTCGACAACAATGATATGTGGTACCAGATATCTCATAGAGCTCAGAAATACCTTTGCCAAATTGTATCGAGATCGGTTATGATTTGGATGTAGCTCCCATATATATTCTTAATCCGATTTCAGGTTTATTGTGCAAATAATGGCTAATATAAGCCCAAATTGAGTGAATTTCGGGACGTACGTTTCCAATTTGTGGAACTTGGCTGCTATGTATATATTTTTAATATAATCCTTCTCGAAGTGATATCAAGCAGGCTATAGCAATGTTATTTGAATTAAAATGTCTCCGTCAAATTTAGTTAAAATCAATTCAGAATTGGATATACCTCCCATATATAAGTTCCCTCAGAAACCAAACTATAACTGCTCTAAAGTCAAATGTTGATAGGTGGCATGATATACTTTAAATAAATTATTTTGTTACGGAACTTCTACCAAATATGCATAGTGGTGTAGGATATCATATATTCGGGCCCGCCCGACTTTTGACTTTTCCTCACTGGCTTCAATATGTTATATTATCTAAGATTTCCATGTATTTTTCTCTTTTTTGCATATCTCAATATGTTCATGTATCAATCTCTCTATCTTAAGAATAACAGGAATGTACATATTAATATAAAGTAGTATTTGTTACTATTTTCGATATAATAACAAAAGCTTTGATTAATCGTTGATATTGAGCCTTGGAATTTTATTGGTAATAATCTCACCTTTATTTTCAAACTTTAAATTTATTATATTTTACCATATCTGAATCTGTTCAAACACAAACCTTTAGAATCTTGCGAATTTACATTTTGCCATGGAAATAATATCTAAGTGATCTAGAAAGTTTAAATGAATTGATAAAGGAGGATCCTTATTTGGTGTATATTATCATTGATATATCCCTCATGCATTGGTAATCACAGTGTTAAAAATTTGACCCATATTTACTCTTCATTGAAAATTTAAACTTAAATACCGAACTTAAATTTTTGCAACAATAGGAACTACAACATCGCTGAAGTACTAATTATAAATGCAACAGCCTACAGGAAATGGTTTATGTGTAAGGAAGATGATGGCTGTGTATATGTGTGTCTGTGTTTCATTTCAGTAAAACATGCCTTAATACTTCCGGTTCACTCATGGCGTCCTTTATTCTTCGTCTTTTATTCCACGTGAATAACTTAATTTCCACATATACACAGACACACACATGCACATGCACGTGGTATACTATTACATACGTGCCGTGTCGTTAAAATCCAATGAAGAATAAAACGTTTTATGAGCTTGTTTTCATATTATTCTTGTGTTTTTTCTGCTTTCCTTTTTTTTTTTGCAAAATGGTTCACCAGCATATCAGGTACTTGGCATTTATGGTTGTCCGTAGCTTGATTTCCGTGGCAACAACGGAAAACACAGCAACGCAACACAGCACAACACACAAAATTGGCTCAAGGCATTAACGTTCTTCATTCATAAAGCTGCAAAACTATGATGTCTTTACACGCACAACAAACGCACACACTCGCACACATGACTATATCATAGTATGAGTAGTTTTATATATCCTTTCACATGTACGCATAATACCGACAACTTCCTTTACGGGCATACATTTTTAAATGGCTAAAGCTGATACGGAAGGTCGTTACCAAACCGGTTGGCATAGCATTAGGTTAGGAGGTTGAAATGGTGAACGAAAGGTGTGGGGCAGTTGATGTTGCTATCCTGGATTAACGATTGAAGTCAATTTAAATCGGTAAAAATGGTTGATATCTTCCACCATATGAAAACTTGAATAAGTGCGAAATCGGTCGGCTTAGAATGCAAAAATTTGTGGCCTGGCCATATTCCAGAATAAAAATGGGAGCTGTATGCGGTATATCCATTGTCAGTAGATTGAATTATTCATTCACTCTTTCGCACTTTTGGAAATGTTCGGATTAAGATTACTCGGAGTCCGTACATTTCAGATGTATAGTATCTCCGGGAATATT